GCGGGGTATGCGAGGCGGGCTGCGGCTGGGCGAACCCAAGGGAGGAATTTTAGGGGAGTTGAGCGTTCCCTGTCAGATCCAGCAGCCAGCCCTCTGGGCTGTGCCTTCTGCAGGGTCCTTCTCCGCCCACAGCCTCAGTTTCCCCATCTGCACAGCAGGGAGGAGTATGCATTTGATGTTCAGGGTCAGAGTTCAGATTGGGGGACAGGAAACACAGGGCTGGTGGATCAGTGAGCTCTGACTGACTAGGCTGGACCAGTCTCCAGCAAGGTCGCCTCCTTCCCAGCTTACCCCTCCCAGGCCTCCCCTTTGGCAATTCTAGGCTGAGCCTAGCATCCCCTCACCCATCCTGCATCCAGTGACTCCTGGGGCTACTCTAGTCTGACGACATGCAAAGCTGCAGCTGGAGCTGTGGTTATGGGTGTGCCTCTGGACAGGTGACCTGGATCCCTGAGCCTAGGGGGATGAGGACCAAACTGGATGTAGGTGCAGGCAGACTGGCAGCACCCAGCTGGCATTTGTTGACACTGGGGTTGATGGTGGTGACAAGGATGCTGATGACTGGGCTGTCCTGCCTTCTAGACACCTGTAAGGGAAAGACCAGGCACCTTAGCATGTTACAAACACAAGGTCTGGACAAAGGCCACCTCCTCCAAGAAGTCCCCCCTACCAGAAATTCTCTCTTCTCCCCTGCTCTCCCTCCTGAGACTGATTGCTGTCTCATACAGAGCTGGACACAAAAGAGGTGCTCAAGAAACGTATGTGGGTAAATAAATGTATATTTCCAGAAAAGCAGACCAAGTGAGAAATGGGGAAGGAAAAGGTTTCTTCCTTAGTGAGCAGCAGTGGGGTTCCAGGGGTTCAGCAAAGGTCTGAATGAGAGGTTCATGGGCAAGAGGGGATTGTGTTCACAGAGGTGCCCTGCTCTGCAATCTCACAGGACAGTCCCACAAAGCCGCTGCCTTTGAGGGAGCTGGTTGATAATCTTTCCTCTAAGCAGAGGTGCCTGAGAGACAAAGCCCTAGGGGTTTGGGGACAAAGGTCCAGGAGATGCAGGGTCTTTGCAGGAGGGGTGGAGAGTAGGTGGTCTTGGTGAGACCTCTGCTGCATTCATTTCATCCTGTCTTTGGGCTTTTGCCAGGTGGGTCTGCAGGCCAGTGAGCTGTGAGCAGGAATCTGGACTCACCAGGGCTGAAGATGGCTGGAAACTGTTCCTGGGAGACTCATTCCACCAACAGGAACAAGGCAAGTGCCACCAAAGCCAAGGGGACCCAGGGCCTTCCCAGACAGTGTGGGTGGGAAGGGCAGACCTAGCCCTACATCTCCTCCGAGCTCCCAGGCCCCATCCTCTAGCTCTGGATCCAGGGTGGGCAGGAACCCCCTGGGCTATGTTGCCTGGCACAGGCCACCTGGTTCCTCGAATCTCCAGTGTCCACATTGATGAGGCAAGCACAGGGACTGAACACTCCTGAAGTCCTTTACTGTGCCGACCCCGTATCATCTTTTACCAGCCCTGAAAGAGCTTGTCTCATCTCATCCCTCCAGAACCAGGCACTGCCACTGGATGCACTGGGATTCTGGCCCCAAGGTGGCTGTGATACCATGTGCTCTGCAGAACCCACTCTGGGGAGTGCAACTGTGGCCCCAACCCTGAGTCCCTTAGACATGACTTCACCTCCCATCTCCAGGCACCAGCCCGGCTGAGACTCTGTCCATCTCTCCAGGCTGACCCTCACCCTACCTTCTACCTTCTAGACTTCCCTGGGCCCCTTGAAAAGTCTAGGATTTCCTTCTTAATCCTGAGCAAACTTCTCTCGATTGGATGAATCCCTCCAAGTTGCCTAGTCCACCCTCTTCTCCATTCGAAAGACAGCAAGAACACCAGGATAGTCATGTCACTCCTGCCCAACTGCCAGGATCCCCCACATGTCCTTAGCTCTTTACCTCCCACTGGGTAATGGCAGCCATGGACCTCCCACTGGGAAATGCCAGCCATGGAGGACAAAGGCTGGACTGGCTAAGGGAAGTCTCCAGAAATTCTTGGAGCAAAGACAGAGCTCAGGAAGGGAGCCAGGTTCCAGTGCAGGCGTTTTACAAAGCAGTATGTGGCTGGTAAAGGCACAACACACCCAGTGACTCACCCTCCAACTCCAAGGAGGAGATTACAGACTTTTTCCAGCCTAGAGAGGCACAGGGTAATCTGACCTCAATTCATCCAGCCCCTAAAGTCCACTTTTCTCCCAGAGTCTCAGCTAGTCCTTCCCGGGCCTATTTGGACACCAGGTCCTACAAATTCCTGGGTCTGGTTCCCCAGCTGAGAGGACCATCAAAGGCACGTGGAGGAAAGGAAAGCCAAGGGCAAGCTCAGGAATCAGATTGGGGATAAATAGGCAGATGGACAGTCACTGTGCTGGTAAGAATGGCAGGTGCTGAGTAGGCCCTTGAAGTGCTTTCCTTGGTCTCATGGAGTGTCCTAACAGTTTTGCCAACACCTTCCATCCCTGCCATAGGGTCTCCTTGACCTGAGCCAGGCCGGAAGGCCCTTCCCTTTGTTATGGCAGTAAAGCCCAGAGAACAGTCTCTCAAGACCCCATTTGCTGCCAAAGCTGGGAGCTCTCTGGAAGGTGGCAGAATGGATCCTGCCTGGAGAACCTTCCCATTTGTTTTGTGGGAAAGCCATAAGTGATGGGAACAGATACCAGCCTTAGAGAGAGTGCTGCAGTGAATTAGCAATGTCTGCTAGAGTGTGGGAATGGGGCGATGGTGCTCAGCGCTGGGAGCCTTTACTGCTAAGAATGAGGGGTCAAGAATGGTAGCCTGAGAACTGTATCCAGCCTGTAGATGTGTCATGTTTGGCCCACAGAGTGTTTTTTAAATGTTAACATGCAGGGATCAGGATATTGCACATTGCAATCTACAGTTCGGCTTCTCTGGGGAGGGAAAGAGGTCATCCAGCCACTCAGCCCACAGGTACCTCCTGGCTTCCACCAGCTAAAACACAACAGGTTGCCCACTTGGTTCATTGCTGGGTGCCCTTCAGCCTGCCACTGTGTCCTCCACCCGAGTTTCTTTCACCTGACCCACCATCGTGCATTTATATGCCAGCCCAGACCCTGTGAGCAGGACCCATATTTGGCTGGGATGCACTCTTACAGCCATTCAAAAACTGAAATGCTGGGGCCGGCAGGTGGCATGGTAGGTAAGGTGCTGGATTCTCACAAGGCCAACAGTGGTTCAAATCCCAGACCCAGCAACTTGAGAATCACGCTAGGTGTGTGTATGTGTGCCTGCCCACAATCCCGAGAGGGGAGTGGAGGAGAAGGGATTGTGGTGCGGCCATGCCCCCAGAGGTGTGATTTCTCACGTTCCCCCTCTGTCTCTCTCCAGCAAGCACATATGTCCTATGGCAAAAACTTGTTGGGTGGTTGGAAAAGTCATGATGTATTTTTCTACGCTTTTCTCTGCAAAAACGCTTCATGACTTTTCCAACAACCCATATATACATATATGTATATATGTTCATGTGTGTGTATACATATATGTGTACATACACATACATATGTGTATGTATATGTATACACATGTGTATGTGTATATGTGTACATAGACGTACATATATATTATGTATATGTACGTCTATGTACATATATGTATATATTCTCTCTATATATATAATATATATATTCTCTCTATATATATACACACACATACATATATATACCCTCTCTATATTTATATACTTTCCTACAGTTAGGTAAATAATTGCTGCCTCTCCCCCTTCCCCAGTGACTCCCCCTAGACTTTCCCACAATCCAGGAACCCAAGAGTAGCCCCAGCCTAGCAGGGAACTGTTTCTGATCCCACTATGGGACATGGTTTTCCTCCAGCTATGACTAGGGTCTCCTTTTTATTTTTCTTTTTAAGACAAGGTCTCACAATATTGCCCAAGCTGACTTCAATCTCATGACCTTAGCCTCTCCACCACACTACATGCTTTTTTCATTTACAAGTGGTTTTATGTCTTAAATACATATTTTCATGTTTTCGTTTGTACAGAGAACTTGCCAGAACAGTATGATGTACACATTCATTGTTTTCATTTTGTTTGTAGAGCCCAGGTGCTGTTCTGGAGAGAGCCAGAGAGAGAAGGAAAGTGAGAAATCACCCCTCAGAAGGGATAGCCATGCCGCAGTCCCTTCTCCATTCTCCTCTCAGGATTTGGGGCACATAATGCTCACAGACCTGGTGTATTTTTCAAGCCACTGGATCCAGGACTCAGACCTCTCAGTTGGTCATGTGGGATCCAACTTTCTAACCACCACGCCACCTCCTGGCCCCAGTTCATTCATTGTTAACCTGTCACCATATGTGCTTTCCCTCTGTAGACCTCTTTTTCTAGAACTTTTGAAAAGTTAACTGCAGATACCAAACTCCTTTATCCCCAAATAACCTGTCTCATCGAAGCACAAGGACATGCCCACCCATGGCCACAGTGCGTTTCACCTTCAGGACACCTGACACTGACGCAGCGCCATTATCTATACACAGTCCCTATGCACATTTTGTGCATAGTTACGCTTTGTCGTAACTATTTAGATCAGCATATGATCCAGGATGGTAGCACTGCGTTTACTAGGAGGGCTCTTTGGTCTCCTTCAGTCTGGAAAAGCTTCTCAGTTATTCTTCAAGTCATATGACATGGTCACGGTTCAACAGACTATGCTGACCCACAGGCAGCCCGGAGCCTTCATGGTGATTAACCGTTCCTATTCTTGCCCCTGTAGGCATGCCATCCTGCTAGCTGTGGAGGTAGGGTCAGGGGTCTTTCTGCTCTAGGTGTATAGCTACTTAGTGACCCTAGAGACCACTCCCCAGTCTCTAACCAGCACCCCACTGAGACCCAGGGGAGGGCCTGCAGGTGGGGCCCAGCCAGCCTCACCTGGTATCTCCCCTCCACACCTGCACAGATGTGTCCCGGCATGAGTGAGGCCCCAGAACTCTACAGCCGAGGCTTCCTGACCATTGAGCAGATCACGATGCTGCCGCCTCCCGCAGTCATGAACTACATCTTCCTGCTTCTCTGCCTTTGTGGCCTGGTGGGCAACGGGCTGGTCATCTGGTTTTTTGGCTTCTCCATCAAGAGGAACCCCTTCTCCATCTACTTTCTGCACTTAGCCAGTGCCGACGTCGGCTACCTCTTCAGCAAGGCTGTGTTCTCCATCCTGAACACCGGGGGCTTCCTGGGCACGTTTGCTGACTACGTCCGAAGCGTGTCCCGGATCCTGGGGCTCTTCACCTTTGTTACCAGCGTGAGCCTCCTGCCAGCCATCAGCACAGAGCGCTGTGTGTCTGTCATCTTTCCAGCTTGGTACTGGCGCCAGCGGCCGAAGCGCCTATCGGCCGTGGTGTGCGCCCTGCTCTGGATCCTGTCCCTCCTGGTCACCGGCATACACAACTACTTCTGCGTGTTTCTGGGCCGTGAGGCCTCCAGGGTGGCCTGCAGGCACATGGACATCTTCCTGGGCATCCTCCTCTTCCTCCTCTTCTGCCCTCTCATGGTGCTGCCCTGCCTGGCCCTCATCCTACACGTGGAATGCCGGGCCCGGCGGCGCCAGCGGTCTGCCAAGCTCAACCATGTCATCCTGGCCATGGTCTCAGTTTTCCTTGTGTCCTCCATCTACTTAGGGATTGACTGGTTCCTCTTCTGGGTCTTCCAGATCCCAGCCCCCTTCCCTGAGTACGTCACCGACCTGTGCATTTGCATCAACAGCAGCGCCAAACCTGTCGTCTACTTCCTGGCTGGGAGGGACAAGTCACAGCGACTGTGGGAGCCTCTCAGGGTGGTCTTCCAGCGAGCCCTGCGGGATGGCGCCGAGCTGGGGGACACTGGGGGTGGCACACCCAACACTGTCACCATGGAGATGCAGTGTCCCCCTGGGAATGCCTCCTGAGAGGCCAGCAACTGGAGGGAGGCAGGACAGGTTGCATCTGGTGGCCTCTAGAGACGGGACCTGGGCAGCTGTCTCAGTGCCCACACAGGAGGATAATGGACTATTTCCAGCCCCTCATGCCTCCTCTTCCTTGGGCCAGAGCATACAGGAGTGACCGAGACACTGAGCAGCCACCTACAAGCAGACCCTGGAGCCTCTGCCTGGCTCCCCCAGCCCTTCTCCTCTTTGGTAACCCATTATACAATGGTCGCCCCCAAGTGCTGGGGCCTCCTTAACCTGGCTGGTCAGAAAAGGAGATAAGGGGCCACCCAACCCCATCCATCTCCTGCCCTTTTAACCAGCCCTTCTTGAAAATGACCAAGCCAGTACCCCAGCTCCCCACCAGGCCAGCAGCCTTACCCCACCATTAGGGTATTGTCCTTGCGGGTCCATCCTCTCAAAGCAAGATCAGTGAACCAAGCTGAATGAAAAGGTACTGTCTGGAAGAGGGTTCTGGTTAACCTGCCTTGTAGCTAAGTCTGCAATCACGTGGTGAGTTGCTGGAGATGGGAAGGACCCAGCCACCTTGGGTAGGTGACTGCCTTCTCTGATTCCACACTGTGCCAGGCCAGCCTGGGGCAAACTCCCAGGGCTCTCCATGTGTCCTGGAGGCTACTGTGGACCATCTGAGCAGCTCCTGGACACAGTCACTTGGTTCCAGCCCCTAACTTAAGTGGACACTGGCTCTACCCTAGCCATCTGGGGACTGGCACTATGGTGCCCACCTATAAGCACAGTGGCCCAGTGTAGCCAAAGCAAGTTTTATAAAGACATTAAAATGTATATCAATAAACATTTTATATCTGGCAGTGAGGAAGGCGCAATGCCTGCTGTGCTCTCTGTGGTCTCTGTTTCCCACAGCAAGGATGCCCCAAGGTAGGGGAGCCCAGGGTGAGCAGCCTCCCCACACTAGCTCTGGGGCTCCCTCCCCTGGTAGGTTATCCACACCCATGCCAAAGGGAGAATGGTCATTAGACCGTCCTCTGCTGGCTTGTGCCAATGCCCTCTTTCACTCACCCACCATGGCCCACACTGCTCTGGGAACCTTAGCTCCCCCTGCTGCATGCCTGGCCCCATTCAGCAGTATAGTCCCTGGGGCATGTTGCAGCCTCTGCTCCTGCTGCTCCCCCAGCCAGAATTCCTGTCCCTGTCCTGGACTCCCTGAGTCTGGATACTTCCCTGCATGGAGTGAAAGGCTAGGAGCCCTCCCAAGGGACAGCTTCAACTAGGGCTAAGGCAGGAAAGATTCCTGGCTGCTCCCCTGTCTATGGTCAGCCCCCAGAAAAAGCCCATCCTGGGTTCCTGATGTCCAGCCCCTTTTTGGGGAAGCTCTTGAGGGGAACCTGTTCACTCCTTGACCCCAAGGACAGAGACCAGGGCAGAGGTGTCATGGCCCAGGTCATGCTGGATCCTTCTCTGTGGAGAAGACGGGGAGGGGAGGAGAGGGCTGCTCTCCAAACAACCAGTGGGGTGGGGGAAGGCCTGAGCAGTACTGCAGGGCTCACCTGCCCACCTGGCATTCTACCAGTGACCCCTGAGGCTGACCGGCCTTACCTGGGTGACATGGTCCCAGGCCAGGAGCTGTAGCACCAGCCCTCAGGTAACCTGATGCCCAATGCTATGTCCCCCTGTGGCCCAGTTCTAGCCATCTCCCCCAGGCCACTGCTCCCCTCTGTTACCCTTCTTAAAAGTCCTGGCTGGTCCTCCCAGCAAGGCCACTGTTCTACAAAAAGAGAAGACCTTGTGTGGTCAGGAGCTGGTGGTCCCAGGAGCTTTAAGTGGTGGCTATACATGCCCACCTGGCCTTCCCTAGTTCCTGGAGTGAACCTGCCCATACCCTCAACCCCCTTTTCTGTCCCAACCCTAGTCAGGAGATCCCAGATTGCAAGTATCCCTGCAGGTGGGTCTCTGAGGACACACGAGAGAAGGCAGGGCTGGGAGTCCACCCAGTGGTAAAATCTTCCCCCAAACGGGTGTCCTGGCTGCACCACCTCAGCCTCCCCTGCACCACCTCAGCCTCCACATGACCAGAAATGTCTCCTGGTCCTGAAGGTGGCCAAGGGGGAGTCCAGGGTTCTGGCTCCTCTGGGACCAGAGAATCCCAGTTCCTAGGATTCGCTGTCTTCTTAGGAGCGCCCACCCAGGTCTCTAACCCAGAGCCACCTGTGGGGAACTGCCCTCCTAGAAGGGAACCCAGGGCCTTAGAGTGGATGGGCAGCCCCCACCATGAATGAGGAAGGTCACGGAAGCCAGCTGGGCCTGGCTTTCTGAACAGGCTGCTCCTACAGATGCTGAGATGGGAAGGGCAGGAAGGGGGAGTGGCTGCAGGGGGAAGTCAGGAACCAGCCTCTCCCAGCCCCTGGACCCTTCCTGTGCAGATCATTACAGTCTCACTAGGGAGCAGAACTTCTCCCCACTCCAGCCCAGCCCTAGGAGGATTCCCTGCACCTCATTCTCTGTGCTAATGGAGGGGAGACGGTGCAGACCATGAAGAGAGCAAAAACCGCAGACCCTTGGTCGCTTTCCTCCTCCCTCCTTTGGTATTTAATCATTAAAGTGCTCTAGGGAGGAACCAGGGCTGTGGCCGCTGCTGTGCCTCAGCGCCCAGCCCAGCACAGCAGGGGCTCTCGCAGCCCTCCCAAGCCTCCTTTCAGGGGCTTTGGTCAAGGCAGGAAGTGGGGAGCAATCACAGATTTCCATCCTGAATCTCTGGCAGGGATCTGGCCATTATCTGCTGAGGCCCCCACCACAAGGAAGTCACAGAATTGAGACTCAGGTAGTGAGCTTGGGGTCCTTCTGTTATTCCTATAAAGGAGCTTCTGTTAAGGGCAGGAGGGGAGGGAACTAAAGGGAGGGAAAGGGAGCACAGGGTAGGGCAGAACTCCAGGCTTCCTTATACTTCCTGCCGCCCACATCCCCACAAAAATAAGCAAATGAAAATGCACAGTCTTTGAGATAGTACAAAGGATAAATAAGCCCAAATTTGGAAAGTCAAGAACAAGCCGTCAGACCAACAGATTATGTCGCTGGATTCCCACGTAGTTGACTCAGGTTCGAGTCCCAGACCTGGCAACTTAAACTCACGCCAGGCGCATGTGCATGCATGCGTGCCCAAAATTCTGAGAGGAGAATGGAGGAGAAGGGATTGCAGCATGGCCATCCCCTGGGGTGGGGGTGGGGGGTTGGGGGTGTGATTTCTCACTTTCTGTGTCTCTGAATCTCCAGGGAGCACATGTACCCTACAGCAAAAATCTCTCTTAAGAAAAAAAAAAAAAAAAAAAGAACAAGTCTTGGGAGACAGAGGGCCTCCACCTGCTACCTGTGGGACCTCAGTCTTGCTGTGCCTCGGTTTCCGCAGATACTACAACACAGACTTCACAAGGTGATGTAGGTGCCTGAGGACAGTCCCTGGCACAGCCCAGTGCCCTGGTTAGGTCTTGGGGCCAACGAGCTATGTGGCCACTGAAGGAGGAGTATGTCCATGAACGACCAGTCCCAAGCACAAGTGACCAAGGTAGTGATGGCCATTTATTGGAGACCGTCTGCACACAGCAGGCCCTGGGCGAAGAGCTTCACCTACGTATGTCATGTACTTTGCCTGACAAGACTACGTGGTACACACTGCTAGTGCCATTTGTGGAAGGCCAGGCTCATCCAAGGTCAGTCACTCTAGGCGGACAGCCCTGGTTCTACCCCATGTCACTATCCACAGGCTCCCCGGTGGCCATCTTGTTGCCCTGGAAGCTCAGGCCTTTGGTGTTTGTGTCTCCCATCAGCAACACGCAGGAGTGGAGGTTCAGGGGAGATGCATGGAGATGGGTGGGCAGGACATGCCCATGAATGCCAAGGACGACCCACAGGGGCTTGCTGGGTTCTCCAGTCTTTGTAGACCCCAAGAGGGAAGGGCACAGTTTCAGGCCCTTGGGTCTGAAACAGAGTGGGGAATAAGAACGCAGTATTCAACAGCACAGCAGTCTGAAAGCCCAGCCTCTCCTGTCTGAAGCCCCTCCTGTCTTTACCTTCCATGTCAACAAAAGGAAATGGACAGCCTCCCGGTAGCAGCCCAGCTTTCCCGAATCCCCGCCAGCGGTGGTTTTCAGATAACTCAAATTTTATATTTTATGCCAGAATTTTCAAGCCCCAAATCTTTTTGCATCTGTACAGCTTGATGCAGAATCCTCAGCCAAGACAACTCCTTCCCTGGAACCTTGGGACTCATTAGAAGGTGGGGCGGAGAGACAGGTCGACTTACAGTCCAGCCTCTCTATACACCCGGAGAAGACCCGGCCCAGGGGATAGACCCTCTAATACAGGCATTTTGTAGAGATCTGTCCAAATCAAAAACCACTGAGGAGGCCAGTGCAAAAATATGAAATTTAAACCAGGAGGAGTTTGAACATTGGAGAACTCGAAAACAACAGGGCACAGTTCATGAAATCGAAACTCATGGAAAAAACTGCTCGGATGAGTCAGAATGCCTGCCCAAAGTTTCCTGGCAATTCAGGAGAAGATTTACCTACCCGGGCAGATTTAAAAAACAAAACAACTTTGTAATTAATTTAACCAAGATTAATTTATGTACAATAAAATGTACATGCTAATATGGTCTGAAGACCTCCGACAAATGTTTACATGCCTATGTTATCAACAGATCCGTACACAAAGCATTTCCATCCCTCCCACCCTCACCCCTGCCCAAGGCATTCACTCATTTCTGCTTAATGCCATTACAGATTACTTACCGAGGCAGATTTTTGCACCATACCAGCCAGGACTCCTGGTGAAAAGTAAAGGAAATCCTGGTTTGATCTAGTTTGAGGGGTTTGGGTAAGTGTGTGTTTAAGGAAATGTACTGACTCACTTGTTTGAAAAGTTCCAGAAGTGATTCTGGCATTGAACACAGTTGAATCTGGGGCCTCAAATGATATTCTCTAGGCCATTTCTCCTTTTTCTTTTTAATTTTCTTTCTGTATTCATAATACATTGCACGAGTGAGCATGTGAGAGTGAGAGAGAAGACAAGAGCAGGGGTGGGGGAGTGAGACGAGCACTCTCCACAGGGTCTAGGCACATTGCAGTTCCCATCCTACTGCCTTCCAGTCCATCAGATCTTGGGCACTCCTGTGTTTCAGGCTGAGTGGGTAGAGGATTCGAACAGCGGTCGCCTTGTGGGATTTGGCATCTCTTCGGCAGTGCAGTGCTGCTGGGCCATGCAGTTGTCCCCACCCACTTTCCTTTTTTCTGTTACTCATCTCTGCTTTTGTCTATGCTGCATTTATTCTCAACTAATAAACTAAATGACAGGTAACCAGCAGTTCTGTTTCCATTTTACAAATTCCACCACCTAAGCAAAAAAAGGAGCATCCCTTCTCTGACAATTCCCAAACAAGTCCGGACTATTATGCTGGTTGGCCAGGCCCGTGTCACATAACTGCCCCTGGAACTAGAAGGGAAGACTGGGGAGAAAAGGTGACACCAAGTCCACTTAAATCCGATGAACTGAGAGTGGGGGAGGGGTGATCTCAAGGCAAAACCAGAGTGTGTTGGCTAGAAGGCAAAACAAAAATGGCAAGTATTGACCATCTTCCGCCCTCACAGTCCACCATCCATATCCTCACTTCTTTGCACATATGAGTTTGAACCTGTAGTTGCATTATCTAAACCAGAAAATGATGCCCATCCCCCTGCAAAAGAGAGAGGACCAAAGTCAACTGCAAGGTCTGGCTCCCCAGCCCCAGGACCAGGATCCATAGACTCTTCACAACTCCCTTCATCAGATCCACAAACACTTCTTATACTGTATGTGTCCCGTGT